TTTGTAAGAGCCAGTCTTCCCCTTCCCAGCACCAGCCCCTGCCCAACATTTCTTTCTCTCCCATACTGTGTTTTTGAAGGAGTGTTAAAGAATGATACAGAATGGGGGTTTTATAATGCACAAAAGTATTGTATATTGGTGGTAGAAAATTAAGTCAAACAGAGAAAAATATCAACCAATCACCTGCAAATCTGTGACTTCAGTGCCACCATTTTGATGTGCATTTTAAAAAATGATTTTCTTCTTATCTATGTAAATAATATATATTATATCCCAGTCATATGTCATGTAGCTTATAAATGTTACTTCCCAGGCAGAAGGAAAGACTGGTATATCTCTTCCTCATGTAGCTTTTACCGATGTGAAAAGACAGACACTGAACAATTTAGAAGAATAGGATATTAAGGATGGTGTGAACGTGAAGTACTGGAAATTATGATAGTCCACAGGGTAAAACCCAATTTCTTAGTTATAAATGTTTTTGTCTCACTAGTGTTTTTAAAGGTCAGTTTAATAGTTGAATGGTATTCCATTGTGTAGGTATATCTTAATCTACTTAATATTATACATAAAGCTTATTTTCAATTTTCAGCTATTGTGATTATAGCAGTGTTCACCCTAACAGTTAATTTTTTTTTCCTAACCACAATTAGCTTTTTAATCACATATTATAGAAGTTATATTTCTGGGTTAAGCAATAAGCATTGTCAAATTTGCTTCCATATATAGTATAACTTCATATTTTCATTAGCAGTGAAGAACATGTGCTTCTGAATTATTGAATATCATTACTTAAAATAACTTATTTATTTTTTAGCCATTTGATAACTTTTGTTGATTATGTGTCTTATTGCAAGTAAGATTGAGCCTTTTAGTTATTTTTTTGGTCCTCTCATCTTTAGTGAATTGCTCATTCATATCTTTTTTCCATTTGCTGTGGCAGTGTTCACATGTTGTTAATTTATCATGAACTATGCAATAAAAATATTAACTCTATGGAGAGGAAGTAGCAGAGAAATCAGTAAATTAAGGCAAAACCATGAGCAGGAACAAACTGCTGAATTTCTCTACTCACACCTATCAGATGTGTGAGCTTTTCTACACCAAGCATTTCTGACATTAACCTGGAGTTGTTGTAGACCCCACAAGTTAAAGACTTAGTCCCACAAGACTGTCTCCCCCTTTAGATGCCAATGTCAAGGAGTGGGTCACCAGGTTACACACAACTTCTCTCTCCTTGAGTTCAATAATTTGCTAGAACAACTCACAGAACCCAGGGAAATATTTTACTTACTATTGTTGATTTATTACAAAGGGTATTTAAAGCATGTGAATGAATGGTCCTTTGAAAAGATATTTAGGGTGAAGTCCGGAAGGTCCCAAGCTCAGGAGCTACAGTGAGTAGAGGTGTGTCACCCTTCTAGCACGTGGATATATTCATTAAATTGGAAGCTCTTTGAACCCCATACTTTTGGGATTTTTATGGAGGCTTCATCATGTAGGCATGATTGATTATTAACTTTATTTCTATCTCCTTTTTCCTCTTTGGAGAGTGGAGGTAGGAATAAAAGTTTCAAGCTTCTAATCATGGCTTGAGCTTTCTGGTGATCCACCAAAAATCACTTCATTAGAATAAAAGATGCTCTAATCACTCAGAAAATTCTAAGGGTGGCCGGCTGGCATGACCCAGCATTTGAGAATCTACCTATTGATCCAGGAGGTTGCAGGACAATTTCTGGTCAGGCCACATGCCTGGGTTGTGGCCGCAATCCCCAGTAGGGAGGATACAGGAGAATGTTGATCACTGATTCTCTCTCATCATTGATGTTTCTATCTATCGCTTCCTTTCCATTCCTCTCTGAAATCAATAAAAAATATATATTTTAAAATCGTTTAAAAAAAGAAAAAGAAAATTTGAAGGGGTTTAGGAGCTCTGTGCCAGGACCAAAGGCTAAAATATTAACAGGAATCAGATTTCACAAGTGATAAAATAATATTTCACAAGTGATAAAATATGTGCTGAGTCACTTATTTATTTTCTGAGCCCCATATCAGCAATTTTACTCATATCTATAATTTTATGGACTCATATATATCAAATCCTGTTTCTTTGGCATCTCTTTACTATTTTGTACACTCACCAAAATTTCCATATGTTGAAGCTCTGATTTCTCTTTTTTTTAAAAAAATTTTTGCTACTTAATATAATCAACATTTATTTCTTCTGTTAGCAGATGCATTGTAGACTCAGAGTGACCTGGGTGTCATACTGTTGTTGGGGAAGAAGGAAAGTTGGGCCTTGTTGGGACTTGGGTCAGTTTTGCTGATAGAAGGATGTGTCTTGTTTGCTGTTCTGAGGATAATGGGAATTAAATAGCTTGCAAATTGCCTATCCTGCATGTTCTTTGGTTTTAATATGCTTAGTAAAAATGACCTGTATATACTGGGCATTCAAAGGGCAAAATGTCAATAGAGTAATGAGCAAAGAAAGAACTGACTGGTTGCACTGATGGAAAAAGTTACTTTAAGTGTACGTATATGTATATGAGGGACATGATTATGTATATGGTTTGAAGAGCAAATTCTATAGAAAGAATTTGATTCAAGAAACTTGATAAAGTTCAGAATCTGTATGAAATAATAATTAAAGTGATGGAAAATTTTCTCCTCCTCTGTATCAGAATGAAGAGATCCTGTACTTAGAAGACTTTGTAACAGTTCTCTGTAATGAAGCATTTAGCATACTAAATATGTGATAAATGATATCAGTATAATAAATGTGTGGCAATGGCATCAGTATATAAATATGTGTTAATGATATCAGTATACTAAATATGTGATATCATCAACATATTTGTTATCAGTATACTAAATGCTATCAGTATTTTGATGTGAGTACTTAAGGTTTATTTCTCTCCAATACCTTGATTTTATTTGAGCTATTACTATTCATATTTACTGTGATACCAAAGTTTATTTACTTTGTATAATTAATGTAGCTTCTGCTCTGTATCTTTACAAAGCTATTCTTATTTTATATCTTTATTCTATAGTTTTTCTGTTTTAATATTAGCAGTACTAGTGGCCCGGTGCATGAAATTTGTACACAGGAAAGAGGGGTTCCTATAGCCCAGCCTGCACCCTGTCCAATCGGACATCCCTCTTATAATCTTGGACCGCTGGCTAACCTGCCTGCCTGCCTGCCTGCCTGCCTGATCACCCCTAATTGCCTCTGCCTGGCTGCCTGATCACCCCTAACTGCTCACCCCTGCCGGCCTAATCTTGCCTCCAACAGCCTCTGCCTGCCTGATCACCCCTAACTGCCCTTCCTTTGCCAGCCTGATCTTGCCCACAACTACCCTCCCCTGCTGGCCTGATCTCGGCCCCAGCTACCTTCCCCTGCTGGCCAATTTGGTTCTGATTGGTCAGTTTTTATACCAGTCAGTGTCAAAAGCTCTGCCTCCTAGGCAGCCATTGGCTCCTCACAGTTCACCCAGATTTGGTTTTGATTGGTCAGTTCCTATGCAATTTTTGTTGATAGAATATGTCATCTCACTGCAATTAATTAGATTAGATTTTAAGCTTTCATTTCTTAAGGTGTGTTAAGGTGTGCAAAAGTTTATGTAAGTTAAAATATATTGTATTCTAAAACAGTCTTTTATGCCTTGATGACTGCAATCATGGCATTAAAGCTTGTATATACAGCTAATTACTTAAACAATATCACTTGAAAAATTCCATTTATAGTATGTGAAAGGTTAACAATGGGTGGTTCTTGGGCAGGCTAAATAGCCATCTCGGAGAGAAAAATTGAATTTATTTAAAGAAGGGATAAAGGATAGGATAACCACAGGTTGCATAGGATCAAGCCAAGGGGACACGGGGTCAATGATGGTAGCACCAGGAGCTAGAGTTTCATCCTTCTCTGAAGTCACTGGTGGGAGGTGCTTGTGTGTGGGTCTGGGAGATGAGCTGGTGGGCTTGAAATGCGGATGGAATGCAGGTGTGCCAGCAGGTGCCTTCAGATCAGTTTCCATTCCTTATACACTCTGACTCCTGGTGTCCAGCAGGTTTTTCCTGGTCTTTGTTTTCCTATGTCAGGAAGCTTACAAATGGCCTTTAAGGATTGTATCTATAGTCCTAACATTATATTTGATACAGTTTTGTGAAAAATCTTCTCTGCATAAAACTATTAATAGCATTGAAAGTTCCTAATGAAAAGCAAGGGAGAAATGAGTTATATTTACTTATTTTGATTTGTATATTGTTTTTCTCCTATGGTTTAGAATATATACAGGATGAGGCAAAAGTAGTCCATAGTTTTTTGTATTGAAAATAATACAATGATGCCGAAACCGATTTGGCTCAATGGATAGAGCGTCGGCTTGGGGACTGAAGGGACCCGGGTTCGATTCCGGTCAAGGGCATGTACCTTGGTTGCGGGCACATCCCCAGTAGGGGGTGTGCAAGAGGCAGCTGATCAATGACTCACTCTCATCTATGTTTCTAACTCTCTATCTCTCTCCCTTCCTCTCTGTATAAAATCAATAAAATATATTAAAAAAAGAAAATAATACCATGATTAATAACTCCGTTCCATTTACTTTAAACTGTAAATCTACTTTTGCCTCACCATGTACAAACAGAAACCCTCCTGCCTCTCTTTCCCCCTGCCACTCCCCTTCTCCCCCCAAAAAATAATCCCAAACTCTAGAAGTCTACATGTTTTCAATCCTTTTCACTATATTCCCCCTATCTTTCTGATAATCTGTTTTGGGTTTGTTTCAATATTTAAATAAATGCTGCATATAAATAATAACAGCTGTCCCCAGGAATCCTTCCACGGGGTACAGATGCACTGCTAGTTTGGATTTTGTCATGGAACTCTGGTGGAGATGCTGTGCCTGTTATGATTAAGAACTGCTCATTATCCCTTTAAAAATATCTGTGAGGAAGAAACATTGGAATATAATATGCTTTCCAATTTTGTTCCCTATTAGAAAGCAGACGAAGAGGATGTTGTTCTCACACCAGATGGCACCAGGGAATTTTTGACATTTGAAGTTCCACTTAATGATTCGGGATCTGCAGGTCTTGGTGTCAGTGTCAAAGGTAACCGGTCAAAAGAGAACCATGCGGATTTGGGAATCTTTGTCAAGTCCATTATTAATGGAGGAGCAGCGTCCAAAGTAAGCAAATGTCAACTTTATTGAGCTTATGTCCATTAACAAAAATCTTTAATTTTACCTCTTTAACTATTTTGGAAATGTATACACTGCAGAGGAGGATAGACTTTCTATACCTCATAGATTGTGTTTCTGAGGCCATTAGTTAAATTTGTGAGACAAAAGACAGATTAATAGGAGAAAAAGGTTAAAATTTTATTGAAGTTAATATTTTAAATTTTATATATATTGGGGCTCTACAGAAAAGAAGTGTAAATTGAAGAAACAGTGAGACTTGGAAGGTTATATTCCATTTAAGCAAAGAGCAATCAATACATCTTATCTAATAAAAGAGTTATATGCAAATTACGTATCACTCCACTATACCCACAAGCCACGCCAACAAGCCAATCAGGAGAGACAATGCAAATCAACCCAATCAAGATGGCTGTCGCCACAGAAAGAACACGTGGGAGGCTTGGGTTTCCCCAGCAATGGAGGAAGCCAAGCTTTCCGCATCCCCTGGCCATCTAGGCCTCCACTTAAGGCTACAAAGTTTCAATTATAGAAGATAAATAAATCCCAACAAAAATGGTGGCAGCCATGGAACTAGAAGAGCAGGAGGCTAGGGTTGCTCCTGGCGATGGAAGAATCCAAGTTTTCCACAGTCCTGGCGGCCTAGGCCTCCACTCCAGGATACAAAGTTTCAATTATAGAAGATAAATAAATCCCAGCAGAAATGGCTGCTGCCATGGAGCAAGCAGAAGACTTGGCTTCGCACCAGGCTACAAAGTTTTAATTGTAGAATATAAATAAATCCCAGATATCAGGACCTCCATTTGGGTCACTGGGGTGTGTGGCCAGCCTGCAAACCACCACAGCCCCCTCACCCAGGCCGCTTCATGCCCCAAGGGAACCCCCACCCTGATCAGGGACACCCTTCAGGGCAAACCAGCTGCCCTTCACTCATGCACCAGGCCTCTATTCTATCTAATAAAAGTGTAATATGCAGATTGACCATCACTCCAACACACAAAATGGCTGCCCCTATTTACAGTAGTCAAAGATCCTGCCCCCAGGTGGACACAAGATGGCCACCACAAGATAGGAGGAACCAGGCCTGCAAAGGAGGGCAGTTGTGGGTGATCAGGCAAGCAGAGGAGGGCAGTCGTGGGGGACCAGGCCTGTAAGGCTGTAAGGGAAGGTAGTTGGGGGCAATCAAGCCTGCAGGGAATGGCAGTTAGTGGGAACAGACCAGCAGAGGAGGGAAATTGGGGACAAACAGGCTGGCAGGGAAGCAGTTAGACATCAATCAGGTTGGCGGGGGGAAGGGGCAGGTAGAGGGGGAAAGGTGATCAGGCTGGCAGGCAGAAGTGGTTAGGTGCATTCAGGAAAGCAGGCAGGCGAGCAGTTGGGAGCCAGCAGTCCTGTATTGTGAGAGCGATGTCGGACTGCTCCTTTAGGCCCAATCCCATCAGGATAGGGTCGAAACAGGTAGTCGGACATCCCTTGAGGGGTCCCAGATTGGAGAGGGTGCAGGCTGGGCTGAGGACACCCCCCTCCCTGTGCATGAATTTCATGCACCAGGCCTCTATTTGTGTTTAATAAAAGAAAAAGGAGTTTGGGCTTCTATGACCTGTAAATTTTGGGAAAGTAATTCTATCAGGGAAACTAATGATAGATAGGGTTTATTTTTTAAGGTTTGTTTATGCAGACTATTCTTTTTGCCATCTATATCTCTGGTGATGAACATTGTCCTTTCTTCCTGGTTTGGGAGAAGTGGGAACACTTTCATAAAGGAAATGCATGTCCTTTGTTCAGGCAGAAGGGAGAGCAGAAAACACCTATTGTGTCTGTCATTTCTCAGTTGCCATCAGCTCAGAATCCTTATGCAAGAGTGGTATATTTTGTGTTGGCATACTCTGATATTCTATAGCACTTAATGGATATTTTGTTTGTGGGGTTTCTTTTCCATAATATCCTAACCATGATCAAGCAACTAGAATAAAAATCAGTGATCTCTCACTTTGGGTTGGTGTCCATGGCTTCAACTACTTTGTCTTATATATTTTACAATCCATAATCATTCTAGTTAAATTGAGATAATCTATGCAAAGACCTAGTTTAGGTTCTGGCTTTGATCTGCCATAAAATAAAGGTTTATCTTTTCTTTTCTCCCGTACTGTCTATGGATCATTTATCCTATTTCCCAGTTTAGAGAAAATTTCCTGGTTGTTTGTTAAAAGGGCACTTGTCTCTCTGCATTTGTCTAATAGCCTTGAGCTTTGGCATGTGTTGGGTTGTAAATAACCTTGTGGGTGTCTCTGGAAGGAATAAAGTAATCACTTTGAATCCTTTGAATTAGTATTTTATTTTGGTAAACAGATTATGATAATGACTTGATTTACAAATGTATAAATGATTGAAATGGACAAAGACTACAGTGACTGCTTGGACAATATGCTAGTACTCAACTGGGAAAGTCCATTAGGATTAAAGTCATCCAGTCCCCCCCCCCGTCCCCCCCCCCCCCCCCCCCCCGTCTCTTCTTTTTTTTTTTGGCATTGTTTTTATTTTATTATTATTATTATTTTTTTAACTAAAATGAAAGCAACTTCTTTTACAACAGAGTTGTTTTTACCTGTTTTCTTCTCAGGATGGAAGACTTCGGGTGAATGATCAGCTGATAGCAGTGAATGGAGAATCCCTGTTGGGCAAGACAAACCAAGATGCCATGGAAACCCTCAGAAGGTCCATGTCCACTGAAGGGAACAAGCGAGGAATGATCCAGCTCATTGTTGCAAGGCGAATAAGCAAGTGCAGTGAGGTAAAGAACAAATAAATGAAGAGACCAAAGGCATTTGCATTTGAAATCATAATAAGACTTAGTTTTAGTCCTGACTTTGGACTGAGCATAGCAAGTCCTGGGACTTTTCCTTGAACCACTATAAATTATCTTTGCTTGCTGTGGTTTTATTGTTTTATCAGTGAGTTGTGATGTGTTTTCGTAGAGTGTGGCCAAAATATTCCTACTTGCACATTAGTATTTCTGTTGCCAACTCAACAGATAAGATGGGGGTCTTCAAGGCACCTTTGGCTGACATCACACCTTCCTTCTCAGAACCAACAATTCTATTCTATTAAACAATGTTGTAGCTGGTAGGGAGAAACAAGGAAACTAGAGTTGTTCGTTTGTTTATCAAAAATGGGTGCCTCTGACAAAGCTCCTTGATCCTTTGGCATTGTCAAAAGTATGAGCCTCCACTTCTATCTGCTACCTCCACTTCCTCCTTCATTATAAGGTTAACAGTTTCTCCTCCTGAGTGCCTGATTTTTTAGTTATATCTATTATGTAATACATTCTTAGTTCAAAATATATGCTGTGTTATGTAATTAGGGGAAGTAGGAATGTTATGGTCCTGTCTTCCCAAATAAAGAAAAACATGTTCTTTTTTAGTAAGGCATTTGAAAATTAAATGTAAAAATAAATTTATATATATATATATATATATATATATATATATTAAAAAACTAATATTGGAACCTTAAACAAATTTCCTAGATCTATTGTAAATTATGTGCCATCTATAGAATAGTTAGGACCGGACAGTTTATAAAGAACAGAACTTACTGAAAATGTAGTTTATTTTAATTGATGCTAAAATTTCCACATTTTTAAATAAAGTAAGAAAAAATTACTAACAAATCACGCAAATTGAAAATGCTATCAAAATAGCTTGTGCTTTTCTTAATTTTAAAGTCTATGTTAAATAAGTATCTAAATCATGCTTTCTAGGTTGTGATGATTACTTATCTGATCCTATAATACAATCATTTTTTGCAAAAAGTATATATATATATATATATATATATACACACATATATATATACACACACACTCTTGAACTCAGTGGGTAGTCAATGTAGAGGCAGCCATGTTTTGAAAGGTTATTGACCATTGACTTGCTTTTGTGTTATTTTTTAAATGGAGAAATGAGTTAATAGTAATTAAATTAATTTTTATACCAATAAGGAACAATGTAACTGTAACTAAACATCGCACAGTGGAAAGTAGTGTGATGTAGAAACATTCACTTTTATTATATAACTAGATGCCCAGTGCATGAAATTCATGCACTGGGTGTGGGGGGGGGGGGCATCCTTTAGCCTTCTAAAGCATTACTAGAATATAACAAGTTATTAGCCAGATTGAAAAGGGTTAATTCCACTCAGTGGATAGAGCCACAGGTTGAGAACCATTAGCAGGGTTGCCTAACACCATCAGAAAACACAGATATTTACATTACGATTCATAACAGTAGCAAAATTAGTTATGAAGTAGCAACTAAAATCAATCAAAACCATCAGAAAACACAGATATTTACATTACGATTCATAACAGTAGCAAAATTAGTTATGAAGTAGCAACAAAAATCTAACACCATCAGAAAACACAGATATTTACATTACGATTAATAACAGTAGCAAAATTAGTTATGAAGTAGCAACAAAAATCATTGGAGGTCACCACAACATGCGGAGCTGTATTAAAGGGTTGCAGCATTAGGAAGGTTGAGAGCTACTGGTCTAGAGTGTTATTGACCCTTTCGTGGATGGAGTCTCCTCTCCGGGTGTCGGGTTATGTGGCTCATTCTCTAGCACACTGGCCAAACAGAGTAACATTCACCTCGACAAGACACAACATAAAGGGAACAAAACACGAATGTATTCACAACACCGATAACCCCAATATAAGTGACCACCAGAGAAAAGAGAATTGGGGGAGAGTAAAGAGAGCACAAATGATATCACAGAGAGAAAAATGGTATGAGAGAAAAGAAAAGGGGAAAAAAATTTATATATATATCGGGAAAACACCAGAGAACAAACAGATAAACTAACTTACAAACACCAAATTTTCAGTAAAGAGGGTGAAGGCAGAATCTTCTATACAGAAAGTAAGGTTAATAATTGGAAGAATATGGGGAAGAACTCAGTTCACTCTAGAGGAAGTAAAAAGAGGATGAGTTGATAAGAAGAAAGAGAAAATAATAATAATCCTATTTAATAAAAGCATAATATGCAAATCAACCAAATGGCAGAATGAGCAGTTGGTGGGATGTGGGGCCGGTGAGCAGGTGGTGCCAGGCCAGCCAAGGCATGTGCCAGTGGGCAGAGGGAGGGAACAGTGATTGGGGTCTGGGGGAACGACCAGTAGCAGTGGAGGGGAGATGGGAGTGGGGGTTGGCACCATCCCATGATTGGCCCATCTTGTTGCCTCCGGCAGAGGGAAGCCAGATTGCGGCTTAGGTCTGCTCCCCGGGAAGCTAGCCTAAACTGTCAGTAGGACATCCCTTGAGGACTCCTGGACTCTGAGAGGGTGCAGGCTGGCTGAGGGACTCCCTCCAGTGCACAAATTTTTGTGCACTGGACCTCTAGTAATAAATAAATTGATTTAAAAATAGGATAAAAAATAAAATAAATTAGAATTATGGAAACATAATGTGAAAAGAAATAGAAAATAAAGAAACAAACAAAAAAGGAAAATAAAGAAAGAAAAAAGATATAAAGTAATAATAAAATAAAAATGAAAAAGTGAAGTGTCCTTCCTTTGGTTGGCTTAAGATCCCACTCTTCCATACTGGCTGTGGTTTCCGTTTCCTGTTGCTCGGACTGAGGGCCTCTCTTCAGGCCAGTCCCTGTGGACTCTCAGGGGCTTTTCAGATTTTTTTCCCTTTATACCGCTCAGGGTGGCTGCATTGGTCTCCTGGAGACTGCAGCGAGGGGCTGTCTCTTTAGGAGAAAATGGCTGCCTAGTCCAGCTTGTCTGGTCTGACTCAGCACCAGACTCATGGCCACCTCTCCCGGACCCTCCTCTCCCCAGCGCCCCCCCAGGCTCCACAAGTCTGCACCTCAGCCTGGCTGAGTGTCCGCATCAGAAAGGTCCTGTGGACTAGATTCAGCGAAGTAAGCAAAGACCACAGAGAGGGGGAAGACTGCGGCTCTGCGAGCCCCTCTCCCAGCACCGTGCGGGCCGGGCAGCCGTGCTGGATGCCCCTCTGGGCTCAGCCTGTGGTGACTATGGGCCCAGATCTAGAATCCCCTGCCCACCTCCTTTCCACAGACAGACGCTGTGCCTGTCCCAAGAGGCCAGCCTCTGTGCCATGAGGTTTCCTCTGACCTTCTGGGATCGGAGGTCTTGCAGTTCTCCCAAACCCTGATTTACTGTCCTCCAGGCAGTCTCTGCTCCCCGCTGCTAATTGTCTCACCAGCTGTGTCTACTTCCCCAATTCGGGATGGATGTTGTTTGATTTCATTGCTCCTTCCATCTGCTCTGGGACAAGGCTCAGGACACGTCCATCTATTCCGCCACCATTTTGTCTCTCTCACGTTCCTCCTTATGCATGTGAGTGGGTCTCATTGACTATCCATGTTTTGCTCAGGCAATTTGTATTCTGATGGTATTGGGATGTAGTGTATAATGAAAGCACAGACTTTATTTATTTATGTTTTTATTGATTTTAGAGGGAGAGGAGGAGGGAGGAAGGGAGGGAGGGAGGGAGGGAGGGAGAGAGAGAGAGAGAGAGAGAGAGAGAGAGAGAGAGAGAGAGAGAATGAATCTCCTGCACACCTCTCCTGGAGATGGAGTCCACAACCTGTGAATGTGCCTCAACCAGGAATCAAGCTGATGTCCTCTTGGTGTATGGGATAATACTCAACCCACTGAGCCACACCAATCTCGGCAAAGCACAGACTGTATTATCACATTTATGCTCTGGGTTTGCAATGTACCGGAGAACAACTCGAGGAGATTCCTTCTCCTCTCTGATCTTGCTGTTGTCCACATGGGGATGGAAAGGAAGTTAAGTGTGGTCCTGAAAACAGGACTTGAAACTGGATCCTAAACGTCCTGCCACTGCCCTCCCAAAGCTAAACCCAGTCTATTCATTGTTTTCTGTTCACGTATCCTTTGGATGTGAGTGTTTTCTCAATGCATAATTGAAATCTAGGTCATTTTCTTTTCATTTCAACATTATTCAGTTCCATCAACTTGAAAGGCCTGCTTCCTTGTGGCCTAGTGTGTATAAGATCTCTATTAACCAATTTAAGGAATCTCTGAGTCATTGATTTGGGATTAACTTTATTCATCTCATTATTCAACCAGTGTGTGCTCTGTGTCAGGCATTGGGGATAACAGGTTAAGTCCATGATGACTGAAATATCGAATAATAAGATCGTGCCAAATACTAAGTAGGACCCACTTTTAAATTTGTGGAAGCTGGTGAGCGCCATATGTATACCAGCTTTTCAGTGTTTACAGTCGAGATAGTGGGATACATTTTTTAAATTGAAAGACATCATTCAACCTGCTATGCATACTTTTAAACAACATGAAATTTTACTAAACCCTACAGAAATTATATTAGTTTTATATAAGAAACCAAGATTTTAATTTTTCCTAATATGAAGAAGCTATGTATACAATTAAAAGCATATTTATTGGACAATATCCAGTTTTTTGTTACTAAATATCATTTGTTATTTCCTGATTATAACAACAATATATGATCATTTGAATATCTTTTTAAGGAACATATTATTCACATTATTTTTAGATATTAAGTTCATTCCAGTTTTAGATATTAAGTTCATTCCAGTTTTTATACCTTTTTAAATAAAGTTCTGAGAAATATTGATTTCCTTGAATTTTTATTATTCACTTTGCTTATTATTTTGTAAGGTAAGTGACAACAAAGTAAAATAACTGGCCTGGTCAAACGTATAAGGTATTTTTTGAACCGTCATATATACTTTATATTTCCACATTACTTTAGGAAAAGACAGCATCACTTTACACTGCTACACATTGTTATTTTGCTTCAACCTGGAGCTTATTTGTCTTCAGCAGGTGTTGAGCTTTATCATTTGTAGGGATGGAGCTCTGAACAGAATGAAGCGGGGTTGATTAACGTTTTTGCACTCTAAACAACTAACGAAAAAGTGAAAATTGCAGTTCATTTCTCCTCTTTTCTAATTAAGCTTAATTTTGATAAAGTTTTGCTGAAAGGGCCTGGGAGCAGCCTGAACTGTAGAAAGGCCTGGACTGCTCTCCCAGGGCCGCTGGGCTCTGCCTCATCCCTGAGAGCTGAGTGCCATTCTGAGGACACTTCTTGTTCTTAAACTTGTTTTCTAGTACACTCACACAAATCAGCAAAACATTTGAAGTCAGGTTTTGTTTTGTGTTTTTTATTTTTTTAAGTAAAAAGACATTGTTTCTTCTGTTAAATATTTATGTAGTAGTTCATTGATTTCTTCATTTAAATCTGTCTTTTGAGATGTAAATTAGATGTGCTTAGGGAGGCAGAGGTATGTACTCTTTTTCAGGAAAGTGGTCAAGTTGGAAGTTCTATCTGATCAGGCATCTGACTGTTTTTCTCAAAAAGCCTGCATGGACAGTTTTTAAAATCTTATTTTTATTTGACTTTGCAAAATTCTAAAGTAGCCTCTTGATATATTTAGGACTTCCTCATGAGGAGCTTTATAAAGATTTTATCATCTAGAAAACTGCAGTTATATAGTTTAAGTATTTGTTAAGCAAACTTTAGGATATCTTATGATGAAATAAATTGTTGCATAGCAAGTGTGTCTTGTGTGTAGAGCACCTATTGTATAGCAAGTCTTTAATGTATATGCTCATTTAAAAATTCAAATATACTTGTTCTTAAAGATTCCAGTATTTGTTTCATTTGCTTTTGTTTTTATGTCTCCAAAGTACCTTGGAGTTTAGCCTTATTATTCTTTCAGAAAATATTCTCTTATTCTTATACATCAGAGACCTTGAATATTCCATTTACTTTTCAGAAAAGCTGTCAGTTGTAATCTGCAACTTAAAAAAAAAAACACAAAAAACAACAAATAAAACAAATGCTCATTTCACAATTTAAACCTTATTGAGTCTAATTCACTCGCGCTGTGAGTTTATTTTTCTCCTGCAGTTTGACATGCCTCAATTGTAATTGTGTTGACCCTCCAATGCATTAAATCTCCCCAGTGCTTATCCGACTGGGAGAGATAAGTCTGCAATTCGGAACTTCATTAAATATCTCATTTATATTAAACAGATGATATCTTCTTACAGAAATCATAATTTGTTCAGGCAGCAGAACTGCCACAGTGGGGTTTCATCTGTTTGGAAAATGCAGTCTCCATCCAGCTTTGCTGCCTTGTGCTGGGCCGCCCTGCCTCCCAGGCACTCTCTGCCTCTGGCTGCAGCCAGCACCAAACATCCTAAGATATTGCTCCCTGGGTTAACCTCAGAGCCCACATTGGGAGGATGTGGTTAAGTGTGCTTTGTTCTTCCGTGAAGAAACGTAACGTAGGTTTTTTATTCATATTATCTTTATGGGGAATATGATTTACAAGGCACTGCTATTTTAAAGAATGCCACATGTAATTTTATTCATAGTGATAGTAGTGACCCATTGTATATGTTTGTGAAATACACATCTTTGCCTATTTCGTTAGAATATTGTTTGTATTATATTAAAGTGCTTTTCTCAGTTATTCACTGTCTCATGCTTAAGATTACAATGAGAGAACAGGATGGTTATTCTTAATGTCTAGCAGAAGAAATTTAGGCTCAGTGTATTGTTTAAGATACATGAGCTGACAAGTGATCTTAAAGTCTTACAGTGTGAGTAGTAATTATACCAGCACACACAGAGACTGTAGGTGTAAAAGTAAAATTTAATTTCCAGCTTCCATTCTGATATTGCCTTGTGCAAAGCAACATCTTATGAAAAACTTTGAATTAAATTTTTACAAATTGATTTCAAATAGATACTAACAGTCAATCTGAAAAACATAAGCAACCAGATAAGTTTTTTTTTTTTTTTTTAAAGCTTTTAATATACATATGTTTCCTCTAGTGGTTGAAATCTGACAGAACTTAATGGGAGGCATGGTGTAAAGTGGCCCAGAAAGTTTGTCATTAGGCAGAGCTGCCATCACAATTATTATGGTATGTGGCGAAGAGTTAGTTTAGTTGGTACCAAGTTGGATGCTAGCCTTGGACAAGTTGTTATAATATCCCCGTGCTACTCACGGGCCTCCAGTCCTGACTCCCCTGTCCCCTTTCTCTACAGCTGAAGTCACTGGGGAGCCCCTTGGCACCTGAGCTGCCCATTGAAACTGTGTTGGATGATAGAGAACGAAGAATTTCCCATTCCCTCTACAGTGGGATTGAGAGGCTCGATGAATCCCCCACAAGAAATGCTGCACTCAGTAGGATAATGGGTGAGTCAGGTAAAGCTGTTTATCACATCTTATTTTTATGCTTTAACTGGTTCACACAGAGGTTATTAATGTAATATTAATGTAAAAGAGGGCCATGTTTTTCAAGAGGAAAAGGGAAGAATCATTATAATCACTCAGGAAGGGTTAATATGAAGAGAGTAAATCAATACATTGCTTTTTAAAAGTGAGTTTTAGATCCTGTAATGTAGGAAGAAAGATAAAGGGATCCCATAGAAATGTTTTCCAGTGATCAAGATATTTTTAGCTTGTTTGAGATAATAAATGAAGCCATGTTTTTTAAAAGATCAAAATGTAGTGGTTTATGGCAAGGAGGCTTCACGGAGGGAGAGAAAAAATATGTACGTGTATATAAGATACCCACATTTATTTTGTTTGCATTTAATTGGAGAGTACCATTTTTTCTTGCATCTCTACTTTTTCAAACCTTCATTTTAAAATCCTAAAACAAGGTTTTTGCATCCATTGTTTGATTCAACACCGTGCTGTGTGCATGGCCCACTGTGGGTAATGAGGTTGTGCACATTTGCTCTGTAGCAGGGTAACTTCTACTAACAGACCCAGTTAATAAGACTTATTTTGCCACATGACTGGTTGGATGTACTGAGTTGCTCATCTTGGTATTACCTTGGGAGTTTTCGAATTTAAAATACAGCAAGTTGTTTTCATTAAAATGGCAATTGACATAAAATACTTTTATTGCTGGTATGTTTTGCTAATATGAAGTTAAACTCTAAATTTTACTCTATTTTGAGTACAGTAAGTATAGATTTAGTACATTTAAATTTTCCATTATGGAGCTTCATTAGAAGGATTTACTTCATTCATCAGTGGATGTTTATTGGCAAGGCATTGCATACACACTTTTGTTATTGATACAAAGGAATACAAACAATCTGTGCCTTCAAAGAACTTTCCGCTGGGCATGATAGGAAAATACTTAAACATGACTGCTAGAGTTTTCTGTTGTTCTTTTTCTAATTCCTCTAGCTTTCTAATTTGGAAAAATTGCTAAATTCTCATTTATTTTGTTCCACATGGAATTTAGACATGGCAACTGTAGTTTTATTTTGTCACCATTCTTCCTTTCCCATGGTTGGCTTACATGAAAGCAGAGGAAAATGATAAAGATACTGTGCACCTTTCAGGTGACAGGCATCTCACATATTTATCACTGCTGTTGGATTTTCCATACTTTCTTAGATTTGGTATAAAACTTTATTTTTGCTAAATACTTTTTTATTGATAAAAGTTCAGACCCCTTGAGAGAGAGAGTGCATGTGTGCCTGGATCTGTGTGCATACAAAGTGATATGCTGTAATTTCCCCTCTATTATAGGAACATAGGACTTGCCATACTGAATCAGACCATTGGTCCACCAGTTCCTGTAACCGGCGTCCTGCCTCCAATCCCTGATGCTTCAGAGGAAGGCGAAAAACTAAACTAAAATACAAACCAAAAACCAAACAAAATCCACCTAGTAACCTTTTGAAATGCTGTATATTTGGGTTGAGGATTCCTCCATTTTCATTATAGTCTATTGCCCTGATTTTGTTAGCTATGGATTCATGAGTATGCTTGCTTTTGCATTGTCATTGGCATTGTTTTCCATTCCCTCAGATAGAGATGTAATGGACTTTTAAAACTTTATATGCTTCCCTCAAGATAGTAACTTCCCTCCCAGCTCTGTGCTTTGTGAAATACTGTGCATGCCCTTTGGGCTGGGGGGTGACAGACTCTTCACATTGGATATAGGCCAATTGATGTTGAATAATTAGATATTTTCTTAAGACAATATTTTTATATGTTGTACTGTAATCTAGGGATCCCATTGAGTGTTACCCTGAGAAATACATGTACTTAATGTGATTTATTTTTAGTTTTGAAAATCTGAGAATTCCTCAGTCTTTGTCAGCCCCTGTTTCAATAGCATTGGCCCTAAAACACAGATATGCTTTATGTCAGTTCCCCTTAAAGTTAGAAATCCTGAAAATCATGTTACCTTACAACAAAACAGGTTACCAAATATAAAATATTAAGAACACTGAATTTCTATTCATCTCTACCAATACCAATAGAATTTATTGATTTGCATAGTATCTAGATACATGGAAATTTCTCAGATCTTGCTTAGTAAATGCCTGTCTTTTATGCTTTTAGATTAACTCCTGTTAGATACTAGTGGGGGTGATGGTATTTGCATATTGATTTTATGCAAACAGGATGAATTTTCACATAAAATATTTCTTACGCAAGCCTGACTCCAGACCAGGATGACTTTGAGACTTTCTGACTCATATCAATGGGAACATATCCTAGGAAATAAGCTCCTAAAAAATAGATTTAAAAGGGTAGTATTGTTAGAAATGGAAGGCTATCAGATGCATCAGCCACACTTTCCCAATTAAAAAATAAAGGAATGAAATCCCAAGATCCCATGGTGATTTTTATTTGTTTTCTGGGGAATATTGAGATCACACAACTTGTGACATTCATTCTTTATTCCCATCAATTTATAAGTACTCACATCTTTAAGCAAAAATCATTAGACAATCTCTAAAATCTATTCCATTTTGGCAACCACTGTGATCTAAAAGTCAAAGAAGACAATCTTTTAAAACAATGTTAGAAATCATATAGTCCAACCTCCTTATGTTCTGTTTAAGAAATTATAGACCAAAGAAGTTAAGTAACAAGTCTGAAGTTTTATAGTTTCTGTGCTTCTGAACCAAAATGATGATGTATATTTTTGAGTCATGAGTCCCACATTACTCAAACCTATTCCATCTCCTTAGCTTTTAAAAAAAATTTCTTTATTGATTAAGGTATTACATATGTATTCTTATCCCTCATTGCCCCCCACCCTCCCACTCATGCCTTCACCCCCCTGTTGTTTGTGCATCTCCTTAGCTTTTGATAAGGTCAACCATATTTGCCAACAAAGGCAAGATGTCTCCAAATGTCATTCATATTGGCTGACTTTCTACTATTGTGCATTTTAAAAGAGTCATCCTGGACTTTTATCACAAAGAAATCTGCAGTGAGTCTGCATAGGATTTCTTTATTTTAAAAGCCTTAAAAATATTTTACAAGTTTTTAGACCATCCTAACTAATTAATAATAACAGTACTAGGCATAGTTAACTTAACCAATATACTTATTTCATAAAGTTACAAGCTGACATTTGGGAGCATTGAGCCTTAAATTTTTTCTAATGTTTTAATCTGAAGAATTTTTCTATCTAAAGTAAAAGTGAAATCTGTTGTATCCATTTTAGAATTTAATCTTAGTAGCTTTTATTTTCACACATTTGTGGTGAATTTTTTTTTCTAAAGTTAATATTATTTCATCTTGTTAGAAATTCAATATAGAAAAAATGGAACATTAATATTTTATTGTGAGTCAATCACTGGAAAAATTTTTCTCATTTCTTCTGTTTTTTATATCATATATGGCATTGCCTTCTATGTAAATGTGCCAATGAATAAATGTTTAGTAAACAACCATCCTACATCCCATTGTTTCCCTCCTCTTCAGGATATTGACTGGTTGACATTTTAGTTTGTAGTTGTTATTTAACTAATTGAGGACAAGGGAATATTTATCTATCAAAAAATAGATCAAAGGCTTCTCAAGTCATCCTTCAGAGGTTTCACATTTATGATATGCCAAGTATAGCAAACGTAATGAAGAGGTATTGAGTAGGTGGAGTTTGGTACAATATGGAGTTGATAATTTAGTCATCCATTACTCCCAAAATGTTCCTGGAGTTGGATTCTAAAACTGTACTCCTAGCAAGATGTTAAAAAGTAGAATATTGATGGAAAATATGAATTCTCAAATTTTAAAAGATATTAGCCTCCAGAATCATGGATGAGAGAAAATAGCCAAATTCCTATCTCACTATTAGGGAAATTTCTTGCCATTCATTTATGTATAATTTTTTTGGAATCACTAAGGTACAGTATTACTACTAAAAATGTCTTATGAAAAAGGATTGTCATTTGAAGAACCATTCCGTGTTCGATATTGATTATTAGGTTGTCAGAATAGATTGTATAAACCCAAGAGTTTTAGTTGTATTAAAAATGAGTATACTGTAATTACACCATAATGTTTCCTTCCCATATATTTTGCCTGTGTGGAGTTTTGGCATTTAATGCTTTAACACATGCCTTGTCAATTTCAAGCTGTCAGGGAAAATTCAGGTTTTGTCATTCTGTACGCTTTTGTGGGGGAAAGTATGTCTTGAGAAGGAAATATTTCTTTGGGGAATAGTGCTAGACTGTCTAAACCTTATTTATGAATGATATTTTATTGAACAGATTTCTATCTTACTGCTAATATCCTAAAACTTTAGTGGGAATAAATGAGTGACTTGAATTCAAGAAAGGCAAACAATTACTAAATATGATTTATATTTTTATTATGAGTGTTCATAGAGGTTGCTAGTTTTTATAGTTTGTCAAAATGAATGCATAGCAAATCAAAGTAGAGTGTTTTTCTTAATAAAATGCCTAGTAGAACTTTTAGTGATCATGTAGTAGTTCTATAATAGAGTAGTTTATGCTAAATAATGAATGCCTCTGAAATTTCTAGCAAAGTTGTTTTTGTGGGATATCCTGAAAATAAATAAATATATATATATATATATATATATATATATATATATATATATATGACTTAATTTTTGCTGCTTTGTTGAAATATCTGGTATTATTTATATTTTAGAAATCCTTAAAGACCATTTGACATCCCGAAATTTCCATAATAGTATTAAGACAAAAATTATCATTTACTTCAAAATTTAAATCAACAACAGAGGTACTTGCCCTTGACCAGAATTGAACCTGGGACCCTTTGGTCCGCAGATCTACGCTCTATCTGGGCCAAACTGCTAGGGCTCAGATTCTAATCTTTACTTTTCTAGATCAATTGTGCCATCTTCCCCCAAATCTTTGATTCTGTATGTGCTCATCTTTGAAGCATCACTTTAATGCACAGTGGGCATTTCTGCTTCATTTATTGAATAGTGATCCTGTCGATGATAAAGACCTTATTAATCATTCAAACCCCAACTCTGATGTTAACTTTTGTTAAGATTTGGAGCATCCTCTGTCTCTGGTTACCCAGGCAGTAACAGCACTATAGAATGCTACAGTACTTATTGCACATCATTCATAGCACCAATCAGTTATCACCTTTTAAATGTCTATCTCCTTCTCTAGGGATTGAAAGATTTAGGAGCAGAAATTAAGTCTTTCTTACATGCCTGCTACATGAATGAATGGGTGAATGGTTGGTGTAAGTCTGCAGGGCTTCCCTCTGAGTTTCCTGATAAAAAATTTCAAAGGACTTTCATAATGTAGAAATTATGTAGCATTTTCACACTAGAAGACATTCTAGAGATCATCTCTGCCTTTATGAAACTTAAAACCAGAGAAAATGAGTACTCACATCAGAGCTACATAGCCCTGGTGGTAGAGGAAGGAATAAACCTGAGGTGCCCATTTGACATTCATCTATGAAAAATAAATTGCCTTAATTAAATTGTGTTCTATCAGGTTGAACAGATGTTTGGAAATTTAGATTTTTTTTCTGATGTAGCAAAGTATTAATACACATTAACAACAGGAGTCTAGAATTTTTTTTTTTTTTTATTGGACAGGTAAATACCAGCTGTCCCCCACAGTGAATATGCCCCAAGATGATACTGTCATTATAGAAGATGACCGGGTGCCAGTGCTTCCTCCTCATCTCTCCGACCAGTCATCTTCAAGCTCTCATGATGACGTGGGCTTCGTGACAACAGACACTGGCCCCTGGGCTAAGGCTGGAATCAGTGATTCAGCAGACTGGTAAGTTCACACTCCAGGGAATAGAAGACATTAGTGAATTACAATCACAGTTTGTATTTTTTAAAAGCTCTATCACTGAGCACAGTTAATCTATTTTTTGGGGGGGGAGGGGGGCAGTGTTCTATTTTCATGGTTTGAATACCCTTATTAGTTATCATTCTTTTAATAAAAAAATTCCTCAAAACCTATGAACTTGCCCAATTGTTTTAATCTTTGCAGGGCTGTATAGTAATTTAGCTAAAACAGTAACAAAACTACCAGTAATCGGAAAACCCTATTCGTTTGTTATTTTATTTATTGGTTTTTATCAGTATCAATTTGATGAATTGTTTTTCTATTAAGTAAATACATTTTAAGCAAATCTCTAAGGTAACTCAAAATTTTGTTATAATAAGATTACCTTGGTCAAATTAATAGTTGATACGTTCTGAGAATAGGAAGATTTATTTTAAGAGTGCTATAGCTAAACTATTTATTTTTCATGGGCTTTTATTTTTCTTCCTAATTTAATTTATTGGGGTGACATTGGTTTACAAAACCATACAGGTTTCAAGTGCACAACTCAATAAAACATCATCTGCTCACTGCATCCACCACCTTTTACCCAACTCTATCCCCACTTCCCTTTGGCGGTTCCCACTGTTTTCTGTGTGTGTGTGTGTGTGTGTGTGTGTGTGTGTGTGTATTTTTTTTTGGGCGGGGGGGGAATAATCCCTTTACCTTCTTTCACCCAGTTCTTGCTTGTAGCATTGTAACTTTGGGGCAGTCTGATGCAATTTTTTTTTCCTCCTGTATTTTTTAAATGAAGTAAACTTTTGATATTATTGAGCAAATGTGTGGTCCATGAATGTGAATGTGGGTTTTAGTTTGCATGCCTAGCAATTATATAAATCAATAAACAATAGGAAAGTGCTGCTTCTCGATGAGCTTGTAAGATTCTAGTGATAATTAACACAAATGGTGTGAAGCATTATACCAGAATTTTCTCATTGCCCTTTCTCTGGGATCTTTTAGGAATACATCAGCAAAATTATATTTTAATGCTAGTGGCTTAGTGCACAAAATTTGGGCACATTAAAAGGTAATTAATTAGAGGAAATACTTTAATATTGCTATTTGTCCTTTCTCTAAAATAGAAGTGTCAGAGATGAACAGAAATTAGTAAAATGTATATGAAAATAATATATCAATTTATTAATAAACTGGGTGGGAACGCAGGCAGGCGGTGTCACATTTCAGGCTGGGAACACAGGCAGGCAACATCACGTCCCTGGCCAGGGACACACACAGGCAGCATCATGTTAGTGCTGGGCCGGCCTGCACACCTCTGCGGGGGGCCACTCCCAGGCCAGGCGGCCTCCAGGCCAGGCCATGCAGGGGCCGGCTCCACCAGGACCAACTTGGGCTGGGCCTCATGGAGGCCCTCCTGGTGATGGCAGTCCCCATCCACCCGCTCCTTCTGTTCATGCCTCCTGCTGAGCAGTTGTGACATTATGGTGTCCTGGACAATTTGCATATTCCTTTATTATTATGTGGGATTATAGTATTGTTCCTTCACCACTTACTCATTTCTGCTTCCTCCTCTTCCTTAGACTTGCATCAACATTAAATATTAGATAGGAAGAGTCCTGGTGACTGGCATTTATTTGTGTTAACATTTTAGTGATGACCTTAACAAAATGAATGACCCCTGCAGTCCTCTTCCCCCATTCCTCTCATGAAAACACATTCCGGTCATGAGTCAGTTCTCCTGGGTCAGTGTTCTTTGGGAACAATCTCACCTTTTATTTGCACCCTTGAAAAGTCCATATCTCTTTTTTTCTCTCCTCCCCTCCCTTCCCCTACTATCTTCTTTTTCTCTTTCTCTTTCTCTGTCTCTTTCTTATCTCTTATCTCTTTTTCTCTCTTTCCTTAATTCTCTTATTGAAGCACAGGATTTAAAAATGGATCCCTAGCCCAGCTAGTGTGGCATGGCTCAGCAGTATATCATCGACCCAGGAACCAAGAGGTCACTGGTTTAATTCCCCCATCAGGGCACATGCCCAGGTTGCAGGCTCAATTCCCAATAGGGAGCATGCAGGAGGCAGCTGATCAATGATTCTTTCTCATCATTGATGTTTCTATCTCTCCTCTTCCTCTTCCTTCCTCTCTTTAAAAAAAAAAAAAAAAAATACACACACACACACACACACACACACACACACACACACACCGTATTTTCCGGCGTATAAGACGACCCCTAATTTTACAGTTAAAACATAGGTTTAGGCCTATATTCGTTGTATAAGATTACACCCTACTTCAAAGAAAAGACTTAATTTGCCGTCAAGCTCTGCAGGTAATTTTTGTGCAATTTTGGTCTTTTGACCCCGATTTTCGGTTGACTTTTTTTCATTTCAAAAGTCGTCTTATACCCCGGAAAATACGGTATATATTTGAACTCCACAGATGCTTTTACATTTGCTGCTGGAGAGTTTATCTTTCTGAAGTGAGAGCAACAACAGGGAAAAGCATTCATCTTAGGTACAAAAGCCTTTGAATCTCTACCATGATGAGAAATTGTGATGGTAGCAGAGGAATAGTTCCATCGGGGTCTCTGTGTTGGTGAAAGTATATAAATAACTAGCAGGGATTAATTGTGGCATTATCTTCCCTGAAGAAATTCCTGAAATGGCGAGGACTTGTATGGCTTTTCTCTGCGGGATGTGGGGCAAGGAAAACAATATGAATAAAGGGTTATCTAAACAAGAATGGCAGCTGTTCTGAATCACAGCAGAAAATGTAAACTTTTCAACCTGACAATATCTCCCTAATCCTTGATGAAAATGTTATGAAAACAAAAGGGAAATAAGACAGGATTAATAACTGGAATTTTAATAACATTAGGGATCAGGATATGTTTACATTTTTTAAGAGTCAGCTGTTAGTCCTGAATTCTGCTGCCCTGTTTATTGTGTCTGAAAGCAGTTTAATGGGTCTATTGATAGGGAAGAATTAATATGTCATGGTTTAAGAATATTTAGTTATATTAAGACTCATTAATTCACTAACTCATTTGACATTTTAAATTGTGTGTGTTTACAGTTCACTGTACTGGAAGGATTACTATGTCAAATGGCTAAAATTTTAATTTGTTAACTAATAGAATATATTTTTTTCAATCCATTAGTTGATTTAGGAAACATTAACAATGGTTTATGGGGAAAATAGTGTATCTAATTTTAATGACAACATAACTTTAGAGGATATAAATTGGTTTATGAAATATGATAATAAGTAGTTTTCAAATAACATTACCAATAACAATTTATATTTCTTTGAAAAATTTTTACCAGTAATTTTATTAAAATTGCATTTCAAATTCATTCTGTTCATCAATTTGATGCCTTATTGGAGTTCAGGTTTTAAAATATTCCACATGACACTATAACAAACAAACATGCAGAATGGTTGAAGAGATCAACTTTCAACACATAAAAAGTAATTTTATTGAAAATGTGTTATTTTGAATTTTCCATTATTGGATTTTAATTATATGGGTTTTAATTTTTCACTTCTAGGACTGTATATTTAAATTGGGATATATGTGCTTTGGAAATTGTAAGCATAGTAGTATCTGAATACTACTATGTAAGCATAACACACAAGCATATATATTTAAGAAACATGCATAAATAATGTACTATATATATATACATACATATATATATATCTCACTATTTCTGTACATACCCATATACACATTGCAGTTGACCTTTGAATATTATGGGTCCACTTAATGTAGATTTTTTAAAAATAAATATTGTACTGTTTCCATCTGTGATCAGAAGTCTGCAGATACAGGGGGCTGACTGTATGATTGCTGTACACCATTTTATATTGAGAACTTGAGTATCCATGGATTTTTGGTACTGGAACCAATCATTATGGATACTGAAGGACAACTTAAGTTTTGGGGGACTAAAAACATATGGATGTTTGACTGCTGAGGGGGTAGGGGGACAGTTGGCTCCAGAAAACCCAGTGTTGTTCAAATATCAGCTGACTGTAAGCATCCTTGGATATGAATGGGCACATAAGGCTTCAAGATAGTTTTATAATATATGTTAAAAATGGGAAGAGTTAGTATAGAATATAAACAAAATAACTTCACTAGTGCATATGTGTATATGGTAGTGTTTTACAAAACAAAAACAAAAATACACTGTTATTGCCATGGGCTCACCCCCCAGTCTCTGTGGGTATGACCTTTTTCAGGGCTTGGGTCAGGACAAGGTGAGGCAGGATACTTGCCCAGGGTTCAAAATGCTTACTCACTCGCAGGTTCCAACCCTGAACTTGCATGGTCCTGAGAGTGAGTACTGCCTTAAATTCAGAGCCCTAGGTACTTACCTTGCCTTATTTTAGGGGAATTCTTTGTATTTGGTGGAAAAGATTGAGAAAGAGTATTCCTTGTGTGGTTTTTAAGGATCCTATTTCCATGATCATATTTAGTATTTCCTTTTTAATTTGAGAACGTCTTTGTTGGGCAATAATAAGTTATTTTGTATAGGGTTTTGCAGTTTACAAAAGGCTTTCATTTATGTCATTGAATTCTCTCATGGGCCTTGTGAGATGGATGAAGCAGCTAGTATTTTCTCTATTGAATATGTAGGACATGCGGGTAATACATTTCAGTTCACCTAGCCCAGTGGTCGGCAAACCGCAGCTCATGAGCCACACGTGGCTCTTCCACAAAATACCACGTGTGGGCGCACACATACAGTTGAAACTTTGTGGTCAATCGCGGAAGTCAGTTTTCGGCCTGGGTGAGTCTATTTTGAAGTGGCATTAGAACACTCAAGGGGCCAAAGAGCCGCATGTGGCTCGTGAGCCGCGGTTTGTTTACCACTGACCTAGCCTGATATGAGAGCATTTTCCTTGGTGTCTTCCTTTTCACCAGTTTTGGTTTAGCTACTTTGTAAGAGCTAGTTATTTTATGCTCAGTAAGTTGTAACTTAATATCTTAAAGATATCCAAACTAGATCACTATCCTTTTTCCCCGATAGGGAGGATAATTCTCAAAAAGGGCTCGTGAAGCTTGCTTCCGTTAGGAGCATAAGGAAGGTTGTCGTAAACCCAGTGACATAGTGGAAGTGGTCCCCTCACATTCCAGTGGATTAGTTAACTGGGGAGGCAATTCTGCTACCTGGTCAGATAGGTAAGCTGGCCCAGCACTGACACAGGAAAGCTATTGATTTTCTCAGTGTGCCAGAGGAGACTGATTTTCATTGTATGGGCTGCACTCAGAAAACCTGAGATGCTTTTTAAAGCCTTTACAGGTTTTTACAAATAAGAGTGATTTCCTATCATCCCTGCAACTTCCTTTGGGAAAACACATCAAACTGTATCCTGTCCCAATGGTTTGCCGTACACTTCATCATCTCTGCTTCAACCACTGTGTTGATATGACCATATCAAATGTCATCTAGTCTAAGTCATGCTTTTCCTGACTTCCTCAAATACTGTTTGTTCTCTCAGCTATACAGCCACAGCTTCTATATATTTCTTGTTTGACATTTTTCTTAGGAGATTTGAGATCTTTTTCTTTTTTAAAAAGATACATTTTTACTGATTTCAGAGAGGAAGATAGATTAAACTATCAATGATAAGAGAGAATCACCAGTCGGCTGCCTCCTTGCATGCCCCACATTGGAGATCGAGCCTGCAAGCTGGGCATGTGCCCTGACTGTGAATTGAACCATGACTCCTGGCCATGCTGGTCAGGCGAGATTAGAGGTCTTTTGATTTTGGTACCCAGCAGGAGGCCTTACTCAGAATAGGTTCTAATAAAGATGGTTGAGTTGACATTCTCAGTTGGTTAAGTATTGCAGAGAAACTACATCCTTATAAAACTACCCTGTTTCCCCGAAAATAAGACAGTGTCTTATATTAATTTTTCTCCCAAAGTTGCGCAAGGTCTTATTTTCAGGGGATGTCTTATCTTTCCACGTGCTAGGTCTTGTTTTCGGAGGATGTCTTATTTTCGGGGAAACACGGTAGATGCCATCAGGTGCTTTTGTTTTGTTTTTTTGTAACCCCAGCTAAAGGATATGTAAGAAGACCAGAAAACATATCTTTTTTAAAACTTCTATTCATTTTCAATTTATATAGTTACTTGTTTTCTGTCAATATTTATATTAATATATGAAAAATTTCCTGAAATTTTTAATCATTTTAATGTCTAAAAGACACAAGGCTTATTTTTGATAATTATTTAAAAATAATAATGTATTGTCAAGTAGAGTGAGGAAAATGTCAGAGGGGAGTAGAAGAGGAGAGAACTCACATGGAGAAAGAATTACTAAATTAAATGTTGTATTTTTTTATTACTATACAGTCACAGTTTAAAAAATGTATTATATTTGTGTAATTTAGTTGAAATATTTTTGAGGAATATACTTATATACACACTCATATACACAGGTATATATGACCTTTCCTAAATGGAATGTCTTCTACTTTTAGTAAATATGTTTATGTTTTTCTTTTTTTTTATACCAGCTCTTTGAGTCCAGATGTTGATCCAGTTCTTGCTTTTCAACGAGAAGGATTTGGACGCCAGAGTATGTCAGAAAAACGCACAAAGCAATTTTCAGATGCCAGTCAATTGGATATCGTTAAAACACGAAAATCAAAAAGCATGGATTTAGGTAGTGAGTACAGTCTCCATGAATCTTTATCTATATAGATGCTTTCAGATTAAAATTGATGGTCCTAAATACATGTTGTTTACTTGGAGCAATAGAGAAATGTGAAATGTGATAATTTGGCAAAAATTAATTTTTCTCTGAGTGTGACATAAACATATTTCTCATAAATGGCATGCTTATATAATGTGCAATATATCAATATATATGTTTTCTAATGAGAAAAGAAACAAACACATATGCATATCATGCTGTATTCATATATCTTTATTTGAAGCAATGAAATGTTTTAACACTGGCTGTTTAAAACCAATTTCATTGAAATAATATTTGTTTGGTTTTGGCATTATGAACTAAAAAAAAAAAGTTTTGGAGAAAAATCATTATCTCAATCCATGTCTAGAATTTGGGTACTTCATATTTTCCTTTTAATGCTATTCTTTAAGGTTTATTTAATAGAAACTCTCATGTGATGAGAAGAAAGGCATTTAATTGAATAGTAATTTGAGAGACTATTGTAAGAAAGTATTTGAAGCAAATGAGAGCAGGAAAATAACCATAGTTGTTCAATCAAACACCAATCAGGTAGTGTCTCTTTTTAAATTCTAATCCACCCAAACAAACAAATAAAATAATCATGTCTGTACACTGATTGAATGATTTTAAACCCTTTGTTAATCAACTGTAACTTATTTATGCTATTCCTTGGTGGCTTTTTATACTTCAAGACTAAAAGCATTAATTTAAATTAATTACATTGTACATGCATAGAAAAAAAATTTGGCAATACATTGCTTTGGCTAATTATGATACGCTAACATAAATAACATTACATGTCTGTGAAATGAAATGACTAGCATATTGCATGGAGACACTGCTTCCTCCTCCCCTTTTGATTATATATATTTGCTTGAGTTTTCATATTATTTGCATGAAATATTACATAAGAATTACCTCATAACTGAAAAGATCTGGGAATGGTTGAAGCATGTTGGGCTGTGGGACTAACTGGGCTAACCGGTATACATTTACCTTTTAACAGTAGCTGACGAGACTAAACTCAATACAGTGGATGACCAGAAAGCAGGTAAGAATGGACCATTAAACTGTTGCCATAGAAACTGTGGTCCAAGAAGCTTATCATAATTATAGAGCTGCCAGTCATACTGTATGTACACATAAATATTCCAGTCTTACATGGATATTTTCATTGTACAAGAAGAAACGTTTCTGTTAGGAGAAATTTATCAGTGTAGTACATCTAAATTGAAATGTAATTTAGTGCTTCAAAATTGCTTAAACAATCTAGATTTTCTTAATTATATTTGTGTAGGAATGTTTTGTCACAATTTAAGAAAAATCAAAATCCTAAAGACATGATCTCTTGGGTAGACTTTTGTTTTTAAATTATTTGTTTTGCCTAGATTAACATCCAAAGAAATATGACTTTTACTTGAAGGGTAATAATAGCACACGTGTAAATATTTGTCATCGAAGGTCAATGTCTAGTATTACTATCATTATTCACTCAGAAAAAATTTTTTTTCTAATGTAAGAATTAGGTCATAGTTTCCTGACATTGAAATTAGACTGTATTATGCATATTGTTCCTTATCTTAACTTTGTGAACCTGTCCAAAAGTTTTTGTCCACTAGAGAGTTTGGCTCAGTGGGTGCAGCTTTGGCCTGTAGACCAGAGGGTCCCCGGTGTGATTCTGCTCACACCACAGTTACAGGCTCCTCCCTGGCCCAGGCCCTGGTTAGGGCGCATGTAGGAAGCAACCAATTAGTGTTTCTGTCTTTCCCTCTCTCTTCCACTCTTTTCAAAAATAAATGGAAAAATCACCTCAGATAAGGATAAATAAATAAGTAGAATAATAAAAGTTTTTGTTGTTTTGTTAACTATTTAGGGTGACTTCAAAATGCTGTGTAAACCATTCCATAAAAACAATGGCTTATATTGAACTGGGATTTTTGCATTATAGTGTATTTTACTTTTTATGTTATTTTATGAAAATAATAAAAGGAAAGTTTTTATTTACAATTAAAGTATTGTGCTCTGTACAATTGAGAATAATGTTTTAATTATTCTAGGCCCAATATGATGTAGCAATTATACCACTTGCCGCTAATAAGGTTCAATTCACCTTTTTAACCTACAGTAGTAATTGGTTTGAAAATGTTTCTCCCACATATATATGTAAAGATGATTGTGAATTGGAGTTTTCACATTCTGTAGAGTAAAGATGGATTGTAAAAATTATATCCAATAAATCCTGGATTCACTATAGTACACGGCAAATAACTATAGCCTCAGCTGTTAGTAAGTAGTTATTTCTCTTATCAAACATAAAATTCATTTAAATTTTGAAATAAGGCTAAAGAAAATAATTTTTCATAGTTTCCATATGCAAATTAGTTATTAGTTTTTGGAGATATTATTGTACAATACTTTTAGGAAGTAATTTCTTTTCCAATTAATGTTCATAAAAAGCAAAGTGAAAAAATTCAATAAAGAACATGAATTTTTATATTGTTTCTGTTCAAATTAATGTTCATAAAAAGCAAAGTGAAAAAATTCAATAAAGAACATAAATTTTTATATTATGCCATTTAGGTAAAGTAAAGGAAAATACTTAATTTAAACAACTCACTACAATGAAAAAAGAATAGAACAATTCACTGTGATTAAAATATAATGATATTTAGATTTTAACTAGAAACATTAAATAACTTTCATGATGAGAAGGAAAATTTTATCACCTTAATTGAATTGTGTTTATAGTGTTTTTAAGATCCTAGATATAAAGAGCTTTTTATTTATTTTTTCTTTTTTTACTATGTGCAGTCCATTCTACAAATTAAATTGGAAAAACTTGGGCTGGGGACAAAAAAAATTATTATATAGACAACAAATTTTCAGTTATTTTTCTCATTTCACTGCACTTGAATTGTTCAGATTATCATGATTTTATAGTTTAGACCAGAGTTTTTTGGTAGAGTCATAGTGGCATTTTTAGCATAGATTGTCTAGCCATAGCCTTTTATAATGAAAACTGAATTCCATTTCTCTTTGCTCCTTGTTTTTTAGCAAGATGGGTAGGAATAGAAATAGAGACTTAGGGAAAATAGTGTGATGATTATTTTCATTTAATTCCTGGAATTAAGGGTTTTCTGATATTTGGGAGGTAAATTTACTTTCTGAAAGAAAAGAGAAGACAGGAATTAGAAGAAAATTGGGTTGCTAACAGTTTAATCCTTGAATAGAAAAAGGAAAATATCCTAATGAACTAAAAGATTTATTTAAGGAGCTTTAAATATTGTTTAAATATTAAAAGATATTGATTTTTTGTGTATTTTGTAAATACCACTAATTCTTTGATCATATTTTAATAGAGAAACAAATTTTCAATTTTCCTTACTAGTAAATGCAGAATTTTTAATGTTAGGGATCTCATTAACCCTCATCCAGGAATTCAAATACATTAGTTAGCTAAATCTTTGTTAAAGTTTCTTTGACAAATATAATACTCAGGTGAATAATATCCATTTTTCAGATCAAGAATTAGCAAGCTCTTTCTGTAAAGGACCAAATAGCAAATATTTGCATAGGCCATTATAGCAGTTACTTAATTCTGATGTGGCATAAAGCAGCTATAAAATATATGTAAACAAACAGGCAAGATTTGTTTCAATTTTTTTTCTAGATTTGGCCCCAGGTCTAGTGATCCCTATTATTGATTCACAAATTACAGATGTTTTGTTTTATAACATTTTATTGTGAAAAATTTTAACCATATATTAATATAGAGACAGTAGTTCATTGATCTGTCATATATCACACACACACCATTGATAATTATCAACATTTTGTTAAAATGTTATTCTACAATATAACCTCTGATTTACACTTACAAAATATCTATTGCTTTTTAGTTATATTTGTTTTGCTTCCCAAATTTGCTGTGTTTATGTATTTTTTAAATTTATTTTTTTAACCATCACCCAACGATATTTCTTCCGAATTTTTATGTTTTATTTATTTTCTTTTAAAAATGTATCTTTATTGTTGAAAGTATTATAGATGTCCCCTTTGTTTCCTTTTCCCATTGACCCTCTCAATCCCACACCAGCCCCTTCCAGGTCTTCACTGCACAATTGTCTGTATCCATGGGCTATGCATACATGCATATAAATTCACCAGTATCTCTCCCCACCCTTTTTTATCTGTTCCATGCTTCCATGTCACTGGATCTATAAAAGTTTGTATTTTGTGCATTTTATGAAACCAAGAAATCACCAAATATTTGCTTTATTCACTTTGGTTCCTTGATTTCTTACTTTTTGTTCAGTTACTTGGAACAAAATTTGTTTTCCATCCTGTGACATAACTTTTACGGGTATTTAGAATACAAACTCATCAAAAGTTATACTAATCTTATCAAGAGAAAAAGTAATATTGATCATCCTGGAAAGAAATAGTTTATGTGAATTTTTGTCATAAAATAATCTATATATATGTAAACCTACATTGAGAAAGTTAAAGAAATCATCTTTTTCTTCCCAAGCACAATATGGGATATTTCTTCTTTGGAATCACCCGTCTGTCTTTCTGCCCATTACATATTTAACATATTTAAATTAAAAATTGCTATCTCATGAAAATAGATGAAGATGTAATGTAAATGAATCTTAAAAAGATAATTCTTGTTTTGACTCTGAATTTATTTTTTTACTCAGCTTTACACTCTGAGCCATTGAAAGCCTATGTCAGTGGTTGGCAAACCACGGCTCGGTAGCCACATGTGGCTCTTTGGCCCCTTGAGTGTTCTAACGCCACTTCTTCAAAATAGACTTGCCCAGGCCAAAAAATGACTTCTGCACATGGGCCACAAATTTGATCGCACTGTACATGTGCACCCACACGTGGTCTTTTGTGGAAGAGCCACATATGGCTCTTGAGCCACGGTTTGCGGACCACTGGTCTATGTCATCACCATATATCTTTTAGTAATACCATACCAAACTACTCCTGAGTTAGTAATCAATCTAGGGGCTGATGACCCATGTAGGGACAAACTAGTCTCTCCTATCTGCGCATTTGTTTGCAGGAGTCTTTCTAATCATGTACATAAAGAATTAATTCTGTAACTTGGATTTCCCAGGTGGTAGTACAAAGCAGTTACTTCAGTCATCTAGAGGCTCAACTTATCTACTTCTAAGTCCCAGGTCAGGCAGTGATGGAATATACTTGCTTACTTAGTTAAAGAAATCTGTTTTGATTGTCTTCTAAAACATGGTGCTTTTGGTGTTATCTCAGGCCTTTCTGCCCTAGATCTCAAGAAATAGGGGCAAATTGTGAATTCTGAGTTCTTCCCTCCATATTACTGAAAAGTTTTTTGGTACTTGGTAAGCCTTCTTCCTTCTATTTAGCAAATCTTTCTCAAGGAGATATTTTCAGGCCTGGAGGCCTGACTCCTCATGTCAGCTCTTCAATCTTTCCTCCATATCTTCTCTACAAGAGCCCTTATGTAATTTGTTTCTGTTCAAGTCTTGTACTGACTCTTTCCATAGAATGCTAATACTGCCCAGAACGAGGTTTCAGCCTGGTGTCAGGGTGCCTTAATGGTATTGGTGACGTGTAGTCTTTTGTGCTCTTTCAGGTATGAGTTGTGAATCGGCACTATACTTGACTGAGTTCATTGATATGAAAGTGTAACTTCTGTTAAAAATTGGAAATATATTTCCAAAAATTTTGAAATATTAAAAACTAATTTTGGTGAAGTTAAAAAGAGTAGTATTCTTGGTTGCTTACCTTTACCTTCTCATTATCTGTGCTCTACTTGTGAGCCTTTGGGTTATTCTGGTTCTTTTACATTATTTACATAACTCGGAATAGATGATTTGACAAAAAATTCACTTGGGCTAAAAATGGAAATTAATAACTTAAAGCTTAAAGTTTTACCTCATGAAAATAAAGAAAATAGACAAAATTTAATATATATTTGGGAAAAATAAAAACAACTTAATTTTCCTCATAATTTATAAATGTTCAGGAATATAAATTCCACCACTAATTCTAATTAACATTTTATTTTTGTAACCTTCCAAGGTTCCCCCAGCAGAGATGTGGGGCCTTCCTTGGGTCTGAAGAAGTCAAGCTCATTAGAAAGTCTGCAGACAGCAGTTGCTGAGGTGACTTTGAATGGAGATATCCCTTTCCATCGCCCACGACCTCGGATAATCAGAGGAAGGGGGTGCAATGAGAGCTTCAGAGCTGCCATTGACAAGTCTTACGATAAACCCATGGTGGATGATGATGATGAAGGCATGGAGACATGTAAGTTTATAATGTCATAAAGAAAAACAGTTGAAATAACTCAATAAAGCAGCAGTTTTTTAAAGAGTACCTTAGGCAGCACTGGGGTTCACAATATCCTTCACAGAGAGGTCTAAACTACTTTCATAATAAGAAGAAGTTGTTTATCTTTTTATTCTAATTCTTTCAGAAGTATACAGTGGGGTGTTTGAGAGGCAACATGTAATGTGACATTATGGTAAAGTGAATGCAGATCAGATAGAGGATCTGTTTTTTCAGCTAGGTTTTTTTTGTTTTTGATTTTTTTTTTTTAATATATTTTTATTGATTTTTTACAGAGAGTAAGGGAGAGAGATAGAGAGCTAGAAACGTCGATGAGAGAGAAACACCGACCAGCTGCCTCTTGCACACCCCTTACCGGGGATGTGCCCGCAATCAATGTACATGCCCCTGACTGGAATCGAACCTGGGACCTTTCAGTCCGCAGACCGATGCTCTACCACTGAGCCAAACTGGTTTCGGCTGGTTTTGATTTTTTAACTTAGTAAATCTTTATTGCTCAGATTATTACAGTTGTTTCTCCTTTTTTCTCCCATAGCTCCCTTCCACCTAGTTCCCACCCCACCCTCTGCCCTTACCTCCCCTGCACTGTCCTCATCCATAAGTGTATGATTTTAGTCCAGTCTCTTCTTGTACCCCCACACTCCTTTCCTCCCTTTTTTTTAATTATCAATTCACACCCTTTCTTTGCCCCTGATTCTATTATATTCACCAGTTTATTCTGTTCCTCAGAGTTTTAATTCACTTGATTTTTACATTTACTTCTTGATATATATGTATTTGTTGTTCATAATTTTTATCTTTACTTTTTTCTTCTTCCTCTTCTTAAAGAATACCTTGCAGCATTTCATGTAATACTGGTTTGGTGGTGATGAACTCCTTTAGCTTTTTCTTATCTGTGAAGCTTTTTAATCTGCCCTTCAATTCTGAATGATAGCTTTGCTGGGTAGAGTAATCTTGGTTGTAGGTTCTTGCTATTCATCACTTTGAATATTTCTTGCCACTCCCATCTGGTCTGCATAGTTTTTGTTGAGAAATCAGCTGACAATCATATGGGTGTTCCCTTGTAGGTAATTAACTTTTTTCTCTTGCTGGTTTTAATATTCTCTCTTTGTCTTTTGCCCTTGGCGTTTTCATTATGATGTGTCTTGGTGTTGGCCTCTTTGGATTCCTTTTGGTTGGGGTTCTATGCACTTCCTATACTTGTAAATCTATTTCTTTCACCAAGTGGGGGAAGTTCAGCTAGGTTTTAATGAGATTGGCTAAAATATAAAACAGTGCCATTGTTCTCACTATTATTTTTGGGGAAAAACAGGTATTTTTTTCTAAAAATGTAATTCCTGTTAATATGAAACTTTATTTTTATAATGTAATTAATATTTTTGAGTTTTCTGTTTTAATTCACTCAATATTGATAATACATAATATTTTTATTTTGAGTTTTCAATAATTTTTAGGAGCATAAAAGTATCCTGATACCAAAATGTTTGAAAACCACTGCAACAAAGTATATGTATAATGTGATGTCTCCTATGACTATATTAGTAATCTATTATTTTAAAAACATGTTTTTGATTTATTTTTATAATTAATCATACTTTCCTTAAACTGAACTAACAAGATATTTTTGTGAGTGTATATTTCCAAATTGCAAAATATTTTAAGCCAAGACAATTAAAAATCAAAGGTTAATATGAATGATCAATATGTTTTCCATTATATTTTGGGGGGGAAATTAACATTTATAAATATGTATAATCATATGCCTCAGGGAGTTATCAAATATTTATGGTATAGTATAACCATTTAATTTAAAAGTAAGGGAAAAACTCTACTAGTTTACTTGGAAGAGAAAGGGCTTAAGAGTTTTAATAGTAAAAACTATTGATGAGCTTATATTTTTCATAACTACTAATTTACATTAAGAATAGTTGGAGATACCACATCTTGAAGATAAAGCAAAGACCAGAGATAATTAAAGTGGAATGCAAGCTACTTGCAATTTAACTTTTAGTTATAATTTATTCTCATACTTATGTAAGAAAAATTGTGGCGAGGAAGAGAGTTGTTGTTTTTGTTGTTGTTTTAATTTAAATTCTTTATTGTTTAAAGTATTACATGAGTCTACTTTTCCCCCATTGACTTCTCCCCCACCAACAGCACCTCTAAGCACAAGCCCTCACCCTCTACTGTCTGTGTCCATTGCTTTTGCTCATATGCATGCATAGAAGTTCTTTGGTTGATATCTTACCCCCGCACCTCCCTGCCTTCCCTCAGATTGGACAGTCTGTTTGATGCTTCATCAGTTTATATTGTTCATTATATTCCACAAATGAATTGAGATCATGTGATATTGATCTTTCTCTGGCTTATTTTGCTTACCATAATCCTCTCCAGGTCCATCCATGCTTTTGCAAATGATAAGAATTTCTTCTTTTTTTTATAGTAGCATAGAATTCCA